TATACAAAATAAACCTTCTATTTTGGTGCAACTATTGAAATTAGCTTTAATTCTTCATAACCTCTGAATAGTGGGTGACCCAATGGGTCACGGTGGTCTAGTTAATTTTAAAATGAAAAAATAAGTTATATTTAGTATTTCTTCAAAATAAAGGCTACAGTTATATATTTCAGTCATGATCATTCACTTCAAAATAACAACAAACAGAATTGAATTATATACATGAAAGGCTATATTTTCATTTTTTACATATCCTAAGTTGATCAACTGTTGCTATGACCTGTAAATATATCAATAAAACCAGATCTATTTGCTAATAATAATTGCTAGATCTAACAAAAAAAAATGTAAGAAAGTTTCAATCACATTTTCTTTCATGTATAATAACATCTATAAAAAATTCCAACAATTTTAATAAATATTTTTTTTAAAACTAGTTAACAATTAAACAATTATTTAGTCAACAAATCTATTTCTACTTCCGTACAACTTGACCAGTGTCCTTAGTTTAAAGATAAATTCAGTAGTTGGAAGAACTTAAGATTTCAATTCATTTATCAAGTTACGCATCAACATGAAATTATTATATACGTTTATATCTATCAAACTTTAAACAACTCTAACGATCTTTATAAAGCAGTTGTATGTTAAGGTTTTAAATTTCCTTAAACACTCTTACTTTTTAGGTATCATTAGTATTTTCTATGCAAAAATTGTCTCTATGTACAGGTTGATTTGACAAAAAGTCATGACCATTTAGCAATAAAACAATAATGTGTATATGTGAGCAACATACACAAAAAACAACACTTTGATTTATATATAATTTAGATTGACCAACTGTTGCTATACCCTGTACAAATATTACTAAAAAAATTATTTGCTTATAAATATCTATTACTAACGAAAAAAATACAGCTAAAACTTCTCAATACTACAAGCCACCATTATTGAAGATGTACATTCATGGAAGAATAAGGGGTTAAAGGACATATCTGAATGTTGATTAGAAAGGGTGGAATTAGCAGTGATTAATGAAAGACATGGAAAAAGATTATACACCTAAATGACTGAGCATTGTGGTAATTCAAAAGAACTTGCTTTGAAAAAGTGCCAAAGATTATGCTTTTCTCTCCAAAACTGTCTATTTTCTCAATGAAAGCATTTATAGCTGCCAATGCTTTATTTATTTTTATCTTATTTAATAATGTAGATTTAACATCTCTGTTTTACCTTGAAATGTGCATTTTATAATGGTGTGCCAAACTCACAGACAGATAAACATGCACAGGTCTTTGACACTAAGCTCCCACTTTTTTTTGGGGGGGGGGGCAGTCTTAAATATGCATTTTCTCTCACTATATGACTAGCAAATACTTGTAAACCATATGATACTCACATATATATGGCTTGTGATATAGAATGCATCCAAAATGACTATAAATAGTTTGAGAAACATGAAAAAAGTATTTTTAAAATGTAGTGGTTTCAGTCATTAAAAGAGATAGGCTGTAAAAGAGTATAAAAATGAGATGCCTAATGCACTGTTAATGTAACAAACTGTATTCATTCTGGGTAAAGACACTGCAGACTCTAGTACTTTATGTTCAATTGTCTATCACAACATACTGCACAAGCCTTAAATATCACAAACAGAGAAAGATGAAACAGAAGAAATAAGTATTAAAAGTTATATAAGTAATGCATTCTTTTCCAACCATTACTTCAAATTCTAGAAAAAAATAGTTAAACTGTTTCATATCTCACTTTCTAAGATTTGTTTTTACTAAACAATAATGAGAAGTCATTATTTATTTCAATGCAGTACATTTAAAATGCCTATGATGAACTAAGTTCTCTATTCCAAGTTCATGATACCATACCTAAATCAACCTCATGTGCTGTCTTCTTATTCAGCATCTCTGTACCAGTTCATTCACATTTTTAGACAATAAATATGGTTTAAAAATATACTGTGAAAAATTCATAACTACCTTCATATCTCAAATTATAGGGTTCTTATCAATCAGGTAACCTAACCAACAACAAAAACACACACACACACACACTCAAAAACTGTTTATGCCAGTGAGCTTAAAGCAGAAAGTTAACTAGTTTCCAAAGCTTTCTACACATTAATTTATTTGTGTAGGTTTTTCAACCTATACTAAGTGTCAATAAAACCTGGAAACTATGAAAAATAATAATAAGACAGCAAGAAACAGAATAACTACTTTTGAAAATAAGTTTGTGTCAGTTTGGGCTCTGCAAAAATTAAACTGGGCATTCACATTCTATTAAAATATATCTGAACAGAACTAATATCAATCTATAATGTCATCTATAACACAACAGTAGAGCTTGTAATATGCACTTTGAAATGTGGCAAAAAATTCTACATACCAGATTATTCTGAAACAATACTTCTCTAAGAACAGTGATGAGTTATTCATTCTTTAAAATATTAAAAAAGAATCCCAATTATTATACAGAAACCTATTTTGTACAATGACTTATTATAATAGTTCTATATAAATTATAAGAGCTATAAATGTAATAAATTGAAAAAGATTACGAATTACAATTATTATTTTTATCTTTGACTTATAAACAATTGATTTAGATGCAAATGTACTACAGGGTATTAAAATCTCCTTTTAAAGAAAGTTTGCATATGTATAACCTAACCTGTAAAAGCAGCTTGTGTGTTATTAGGAAATAATATATAGAAAAAAGCATCACCAGCTTTTTTGTCTGGGCCACAAACATACACATTTATGTAACAAGACTGTGTATTGCTGACTAGCTTGGTCACATACATACAAGTTTATGTAAAAAGACTGTATATTGCTGACTAGCATAAACTTCAAACAGGCCAACTCTCCTGTGGGTTACTCAGGTCTTCACTTGCAAAACACTGAAAGGACTATTGTCAGTGAAGATTTTATCTGAAATATAAATTCAGATATTTTTTCATATCCATATAATACATACAAAAAGAGGAATGAATAATACTTTTTGTTTTCTCAATTAAACTCTCAGAATACTAATAACAACTTAAGTCTTTAGGAAGTTGATGACTGTATTTTAAACTTCGTCTCTCCATTTAACATTTCACTTAAACATGGGATATTAAGATTGTTTCTAACCAATACTTGTTTTAAAACTTAACAGTTCAAGTCTAGATGTATGAATTCAGTATTATTCTGTTCTTACAATACTTTTAATTTTATTAATTCACAGAATAAATCCCATGCAAGAATATTATAGTAATTCATTATATTTTTTCATTCAGAAATGTGTTGTTTGTTTGTAGTTAAGTGCAAAGATGCGCAATGGGCTATCTGTGCTGTGCTCACCACAGGTATCAAAACCCAGTTTCCGGTGTTATAAGTCCTCAGACATACCACTGTCTTTTTGTTGTAAAAAACTGTTTCAAGTTGGGAAAAAAATTATATGCTATGCTTAAAAAGTACTTTTTGTTTTCCACAATATTAAATATACATCAGATTGCTAATAGTATAATGATTAATAAAACACAATAAGTATTTAAAAATATAAATCAAAACAATTTTAAAAGAACTTGAATATAAAATGTCGTAGCATATCCTTACACGTGTTCTGGATGATTCTTGATACAGTTTATCATCTGTGTTGGAGGTAGATTACCCTGGCAGATCTGGTGGATAGCTGTAAACAAGGGAAACCTGTTGGCAGAAGTCAAATGATATTTTTTCAAACACTGTTTTGATTAATATTTTAATACATTCATATAAAATACCCCACTTTGCTAATGAGATTTAAATGATGAATCAATGAATTTCAAGAATTATTTCAGTTAAAAAAATTAATTTTTCATTAAAGTTTAATCATATAATAAAAGTTACAAATACAAAGTGAGGAACACTTAAGTATTATATCTACAGTAATTATATGTGTAAAAAAAAAGTCATGAGGCCAATTTTATTTGAAAAGGCATGTCTAAATAACCTCAAATCCTTTTTCATGCTAGAAATAAACAAAAAAGAGGATGCATAAAAAACAAACACAAATTTCCTATTTAAATACAAGAAACTCATTTTGGTGGTAATTTCCATCACTAATCTACATTTTGCTTGACTGATGAGGTAAAACTGTGGTATTACAAGAATTGGAACAAATGAAGCAACGACAAGAGGATCAGTGTAGTGATACATTGCTAATATAAATTGCTGAAAAGTTAATACAAAATTAACCTTTCTTCCATTCCTTTGTTTTTAAGCATGATATGAACTTCTTCAGCTGTCTGAGGCCCCTGCATTCTCTGTCCATTCAACATTTCATTTTCTAGCTCTTCAATTTTCTGTAATTTATAATTTTTCTTTAAGATTTGTAGCTTGAATATATGTTATCAAACATATTTAGAATTTACAAGCACTTACATTAATACCATGGACACAAACATAAAATACAATAAAAATGCTAAGCAAACTATTATATTTGCAACTGTAGCTTAACAATATTTAAATAAGTTTATATTTTTTGCATACCTCTGATTGATATTTTGAATAAATATAAAAATTCATAAAATCAATATAAAGTGTGGAATTAATTTATCACAAAACTAGACTTTGGTCTCTCACTAATCCTGGTAGTCAGTGACTCTCAGATTAACTGATTTCTGTGCAAGTATTAGATAGGTCCACTCTATTACCTGATATTTGTGTAAATTTAAGCTAAGATGATAAAGAGATTGAAAATGTGATGGAAGGTGAACAACGATAGTTATTAAAAACAACAGTGTGCATGCTTGTACAAGATACTTGATAATCACCTTCTGAGTGGACCTGTGAATTGATACTTCCCTCTAGCTAGATCTCCAATGAACCATTCACATTGATAACTATTCAAGACTTTATGTATTCTGACTAAAACTGATACTTGGAACTAAACAGATAACTTCAGTTTTATTCAAAAGTGATATGATATTCCTACATATCACAGTAGCACCACATCCTCATACAATGAACAGCACTGTCTTAGATTCAAGGGGAACTAGTGGGGTCTTGTATATAAATAGATTGTAGAATCTAAAAATATGTTTCAGCACAAACTGTGGTATACATTATTGATAATACTATCACTTTCTGAAGAGTTATCAATATATACTTTACATATGACCACAAAATCTATCTGAAAAAACTAGAGGCATAGCAAAAATCTATATAAAATAAAACAATATTAATATTTACTGATTATAAAAAATGTATTTTCCTGTGATTGTAAATACCAAATAAATTCTTAGAAAGTTGTAAAGAACAGGACTGCAATAAACCTCTTTGTGAGCCACCATACACACACATAACTACTATGCCTGATTAATCTGCAACAGCAAAACATTGGCAGAAAAAAAAAGATTTTTTTTAGTATTATGAGAAAAGTAAAGGTTTTTTTTCCCCAAAGGAACCTGTACTGAACTTTCTATTAGATTCAAATACACGGTAAAATATCCTTTTTTTTTCGCTTTTCTCTTTATGACAATCATTCCAGATACACAATTGCAATTCATGTGATATTAACATCCTTAACTAAGCATGGATTATAAAACATCAATTGATCTAAGTAGTAAATTCTAATCAAATGTATAGTGTGCATTTGACATGTTAAGTAGTAAAGCTTATTGTTGAAATAATTATATTGTTGCTTGTGGTAAAACAAAAGTTCTATCTAAATAAAAGAAGTTATGATGAAAGAATAAAATAATTATAATTATAGGGACTATTCTTTGTCCTTGTTTATCTGTGGTTATAGGTGCTTCACCTGAATAGCTTTTTCAAATTTACTGTCAGTGTACTTGGTGATTTTGGTAAGGATTTATATAGAAAATAGGGGATTCAAGCCAGGAGTTATTTGTCCAAGATTGGTTAAAAAATGACCTGCAACTGTACTTCTCTCATTATTTAGTTTATGAAGAGAGTCAATATGTTCTTCTAGCCTTATGTGTAGGGTTTATATGGTTTCATGAATGTATGTATGATGACAGATGTTACATGCAAGTTGGGAAACAACACTGGATACAAGACACCTGTCTTTAGACTGCAAACACATTTTTGTAAGACACTTGGCTTTATTACATTGAAAATTTGGTGTTATAAGGTCATTTATTTACTAGTATTAAAATGTCTTTCATATTCTAATATACACTACAGAAGTTAAATAATGGATTATAAATTTAACCTTGTATTCTTTTAATATCTTCAAATTTAACAAAACTGCATTCCATCAACCTATTCCATGAGGAAGATTTTCTATTGAGCCAGTAAAAATTATCAGTAACCCCAAAAATTATTATAAACTTAACTGGAACATCATTATAATGTTTTCTCTCTCTTTTGTTTTTTTCTCTGCTGCATGTTTCCATTTAGGCAAGTAAAATAATAGTTTCAAAAGTCATACATGTATTTTCAGTTTATTGTTTTCCCCTAACTAAAAATACCATATGGCAGGTTATAATTAAAATACAGTAAAAATATGGATGTTTGCCAAAAAGTTAAAAACTGAGAAATGTTAGGAGAAGAGCAAAACATAGTCGTATATGATTAAGTACAGTATATATTTTTTATGATGTGTCATCAGTATAAAAAGCTGTACAACATTGTCACAAATGACTGCCTTTAGCTTCTGTATCATTAATTACTGAAATAATTTGAGATTTCCATATAGGTATATTGTGAAGTCTAGCTAGTATAGTATGGTGAAGCCATTAAAATGCCAAGACAAAGAGAATTAACCCCCCTTTGATAGAGTCAGAATCAAATCTTTATTTGATGCTGGTTGGAGTTTAAGAAAAATTGAAAAAGACCTTGGATGTTCACCGAGATCAGATAAGGCAGGGGAGAGAGAGAGAAAGAAGCTCACTGAAAGATAGAACTGGGTGATTAACTCAATTAATCAATATAATCAATTACCTATGAGCACTGATTACATGAATTAATGTCCAGAACATAATCAACTTATCCAAGTTAGTATTTCTGGTTATGCTTCATTTAACATAGTGCTTATTTATTACAAGCTAGGGTAAGATTGTGTTGATAAAAAAATGTTATAGGAAGTTAATATTCATTATTCTTTACACACTCAACAACATTTTGTTTGTTGAATAACTTGCTCATTTAACTGTTTGTCAGAAATTACTAGACCTGGATTAATAACAGTAAATATATATAACATCATTAAGTTTTAACCTACTTACATGAACAGGACTCTAATTTAATTATGACTAGCTCTATCTAGATAGGTAGCACCGAAAAGGGAAAGCACAGGTCTTACTTTCACCACATGCTCCTTAGACACTGCTAACATAGTACAGTGAGCTATAAGTTGTTTGGTTTACTGATTTCTCAGCACTCACATGTGTTTCTGCACTTTCTTCTAGCCTATACTGTAAACTTTAAATGTATTAATCATTTAAATGTCTTCTTTCTAAACTCCAATTGTATCAACAACTTCTTGCTTAAAAGCTTATGATGTACTTATAAAATTAAGTTTTTTTATGAGAATGATGGAATTAGAAGAAAATATTCCGAAGTATCAGTAATTATATGGATGTTTTGGGTGTTAATGTGATTTTAATATTTTTTTTATAAAACTTCAATTTAAACCTTAAATCATTTTAATCTCTGCAAATAGGTCATCTAGTATCATCATACGTTTTCTTGCCAAATAGTAGATGTTGTATTATCTGTTTTTCTAAGATTGGAGAGAACTTGTTTTCACTGAATTATTCATTGTCTATCACACTCTGTGACAAAAATCCATTTTAGTTTTATCATGTCACATCTAGTTTTAATGAAAAATTAGTTTATTTAGTTTAAGTAGTCTTGAGAAAATTTATAGGGAGAAAAAGATGGAACAGTATTAACCATATTTTTAGTTTGTTACAGGTTCCTACTACACTACATATATGATACTTTTCACTTACATCACCGTGGGATTAAATTACTTAATCCTAAACTGTTGTACCAGAAAATGTATATAAATTTATATGTAGGGTAGTTTGAAAATGTCTTAATTTGTCTTTTTAAATGCTGAAAATAGAAATATTGGTCTCATGAGAGAATGATCAATTAGTTGAATGCACATAATTAATGAGTCCAACAATTAAATGATTATCAAAATCCACTACTTTATCTTTGTTTACCTGTGAGTAACAGCATTACTAAAAAAACAATAATTAATTTCTTACTTTTCCTGTTTTTACAAAAGCTTCAGCAACCTTCCTGTTTCTGCCACCGTAACACGTTGTGATTAAATCTGCCACTCCACAGCTTTCAAAAAATGTACTTAGTTTGGAACCAGGATAGAAAACATCAGCAAATTTTATCATTTCCATTAGACCAAGTCGGATCACAGCAGCTTTAGTGTTGTCTCCATAACCTAAGCCATCCACAAACCCTGCACCACAAGCAACAATGTTCTGCAAAATACAAATGTAGATCATCAGTAATTATCCCAATGGGAAAGGAGCATAATTCAAATAAAATAAAAAGATATAATGAAAATTTTTTTCAAACTACAATTAATGTAAATATATCAACATTTTTATTTTTGATGCAATTTAACTTTGAGATATTCTTATACAAGTAACATGTATAGTTAGCCATAAGCATAGTGCTACACATGAAGCAAACTTACAACTTATACTTAGCTGCATTTTACCCCAAGTCTACACACAGTATTGTGTTTATATTCCTAATCGCAAATGACATTTTCTATGAAGTATTATTATTCAGTTTACTGTACATGTACATAAAGCCATCGAACAGTTATGCAACACAGTATAGGCCATTAAGAATAGAACTAGGCGATTAACTTGATTAATCAATTACCTGTTAGTATTGATTACACTGATAAGTATAATTTAAAATCATCAACTAACCAAAATTAGTGTTTAAAATCATTAATATTTTTGACTATTCCAATTGCCATTATGAATTCTCTTTGCCATTTTGCCACAGGGAAAGCAACCAATCAGCAGGACCCACTACCAACTCTTGGGCTACTCTTTAGAGGGATTGACCATCACATTATAACCAAACCATAGCTGAAAGTGTGAGCAGGTATGGTGCAGAGTTTTGATCTCGCAACCCACAGACTATGAGTTAAGCTTCCTAACTACCAGGTCATGGCAGGTTCTGCTGACAGTATTAGATTACATATTCCTTAACTATCTTAATAATTAATAGTGTATTATTGTAAATATGATTGTTTGGTACAAATTACAAAATATTAAGCAAAAAAATTAACATATATTGCTGACTTCAAAATATATGGCTCTTCATCATTTGCTGCTTTGACAAAATCTACATCTCCATAATCTACTACAAAAATGAACTTTTGGGTAAACAATGTACTCACCCTACATTTTAGACTACATACAAAAAATTTTATCTTTAACTAACCATATGTTAAAATGATTTGACCTTGCTCCAGACAAAAACAAAGAAGTAAAAATTGAATCTTAGAACATTCTAGACTAGATAGACCAGATATTTTGAGTAATAATCCATCTAGTTTCAGTTTTTTTTTTTAAACAGGAAGATTTACAACTAAATGACAGACAATTTATTAACACAGGGAAACCAGACAACATAGTAAATAGTTTATGATTTATATATATTTATATATATCCACATACCTTTAATGCTCCACAAATTTCAATAGTGTTGATGTCATCAACAACTACCACTCTGAAATAGTCTGTCTGGATAAGTTCTTTTAATAACTTACCCGCTTCTTTGTCTTTACAACCTGAGTGAAAATAGCAAGGAAAACAATTTATTCCATAAAAAGATTTGGTGAAAAACATTTATATTAACACTCTGGTCTGAGTTAAGTCCTAGTTTATTAAATTTTGTAGAATAGATATAGCTAGATTAACATAAATATATGACTATTTAACACAGCTACATACAGCAAATACTTCTTTAAAAAATGTGAGACCATTATTGAAAGTCAAGGTTACGATGCAGATTTCATTTATAATGCTGATGAAACAAGCCTTTATTGCAATTCACTGCCAAACAAATTACTAACATTATATTGTGAAACTTCTACACCTGGCTATAAAGTTAGTATGGAACAAGTTATAATAAAGGTTTGTGCAAATTTGAGCAGAAGTCACAGCTACTTTTGCTTTTTATTGTGAAATCTAAAAAAACTTATGGCCTTCAGAAATGTTAAAATGCTACTTGTTGTCTACAACAATCAATAAAATGCATGGATAAATGGTAAAGTATTTTTTTGAATGGTATGATAAATCATTCATTCCTAAAGTTAAAAGAGTACTAGAAGAGTATAAGAAAAGTAGGTTAAGTCTTGTTACTTCTTGATAATGCACTGTCTCACCCTTCAACCACCCTTCTGGAATATAATGACAGTATGTTTAGGATTATATTTCTCCTTCACAATGTCACTACTGTTAAACAGCTTATGGACCAGATGGTAATAGAAACAATGAAATGTCTGTACAGAAAACAGCTCCATTGATGACTCTTATTGGAAGATAATAACAATGAAATAAACAATGTACAGTATTTAAAGCCTTGACCAGAAAAGAATGTTGTTACATGGTGGCAGACTGATGGGCTACTGAGAGAAACACAACACTTCAAAAGGCTTGGAATAAAATCTGAAAAAGCTGAAGAAGAGGTTACTGGTGGAGATGAAGAAGAAAATGTAACAGACAATTTGCTGCATTAAAAGGAATTCCTGGATGCTCTGAGTTTGTGTTCAAATGTTCAGACACTAGAATGAAATGGTTAGAGGAAGGGGTGTGAAACTGCTTTATTTGAAATGATTTTGTGATTTAGCCTCAAAAACAAAGATGTTTTCCTCCTTAAAACAGAAATCTATATCAGACTTTTTTTTCTATAAACTGAAATTCTGCTCTGCAGCCTATATTTGGTGTATACTGTACTGTACTTATTTTTCTTAAACTTATAAGTCAATAAAAGTTACCTGAAAGAGTTGCAGCATTAATGTTCTGTATTTTCCTTTTAATTATGTCTGGTTATCCAGAGTTTTGATACTCCGAACTACCTTTATCCTCAATTAGTCTGGTAAATCAGTGTTTTTTGTATGATTTTGTTTTCTGTTACACCTGATGACAAAAAAAAAATTTTTTTTACTATATGTTTTCCTTGTCAGGAAATTTTTCAGTTACCTGTCAAACAAACATTAACTTAATTATCTTGCTTCCTCTTTCAATTTACTGGGGTAAGAAAAATAATTTATAGGCTTACAAATTATTTACATGACAATTGTTTTGTTTGAAAGTACTTTTAAAGATAATAATAAATTGGATATTTTTTTTATATATGTATATGCTAAATAAATAGAGATGACAAATGTTAAAATTTATTTCATAACCCTCATTTTCGAAACAGATATCTCCTAATGCCATTTTCAAATTAAGGCCTTCACAAGATCTCCCCAGAAATGAACATGAGCAATGCAGAAACATAGATTTACATGTAATGCTAACTCTTTCTCATCAACAGTTGCTTGGTTTGAGATACTTGTAAACTTCCTTTTTTTAAACTTGCTGGATGTTTTCATTATAAGCCTTCCAAACCCATGAAATGGATGATGAAATCGTTAAAAAACTTTAGCATTTATCCATCTACAACATTCAAAGAAATCTTCAAAATGGTTGTGTAGGGTTAAAGTTGAGAATAAATCTATGTAAATTTGCTGTAGTAATTATTGTTACCTTCATGTTGCAGGATTCCCTTACAGGTATGCACTACATGATATTAAATTAAGTGTTTACTATCATAAATAAAGAAATAAATGGAATATATTGTGAATGATGTTTTTCTATGAACATTAGAATTGAAATTATACAATAAAATATACATCAGGTTCAGTAACAACTACCCACAGTAAATGTATGAGACTGTCTTGAACCTATGGTAGGTTAGTATTCATGCACTTATACAGCTGACGAGTTAATGGGGATCTAAGTGTAATATAATTAAAAATAACATTTAAATAGATTATTGAATATGTATTCTACTTTATGTGAATGAACATATTTATACTGTACTAAATGGAAACCATTTTTTGTTTCACATTTGTAAAAAATTTGTAGTACATTTTTGTTAGCAAATACATTATATTTGTGAATATCATATAAGAAATGTATTCCAAAACTTATAAAATGTACCAAGAGCATTTACAATTTTAACAGAATGCTTCTTGATAAATTCAATAACTTCTGTTGCTTATTCTACTTTTCAGACACCGTCTCATTGAATTTCAGCCAAAATTAGTTTTCATTCTGTCTGTCTTGAAATATGAATATTACACGTGGCTAAACAACGTTCTCTCTAAAATTAAAATTTAGCCAAGCATTATTAAAGAATAATATAGTAAAGGTACAGAGTTCAGGAACCAACCTATTGTTGTCTCGCAGAATTTCTCTGCTGCTACTTCACCAGCAAGATTAGCACCCATCAAAACTGCCATATCTATATTTAGCAATTTGTTGATCACATTGCTAATTAATTCAATGCCACCACCTGGTGTAATATCAAAACCCTAAGAAAAGAATGTAGATTATTCATAAATATTTACCCGCATTACCATTTTAAGATATACAAAGATATACACAAGCAAAGCCACAGTTGAAACTTTCAAATAGGCTAATTCAGTAGAAAAAGAAAATATTAATTTAAATTTGCCGTACGCTTTATTAATCTTCTAAATGGAGTCTGTTTAATTTTTTTTTTTTTTATCTACAGTACTAATTCAAAATTTTAAGGATTGTTACAAAGATTAGGGGTTATGTAAAAACTACTCAGCTCAAATTAATAA